AAGAAGTGAATTGAGGGAAATTGGTCTAGGAAGGAGAGAAAACTGTATAAGGCAGAGGGTAGTTACCCAAGTCATGTGAAAAACATTTTTAGTAGTTAATTATTGCCACAATAATACCATACAACCACCCCAAAACATCAATTTTGATCTCAAGTATGTAGGTCAGCATGTTCTTGACCATAGATGCATGAATAAGCCCCATGATTTGGATGGGGCTTATTCATGCATCTATGGTCACTGGTGGTTGGGTAGGAAGCTTTGCTCATCTTAGCTGGAGGTCGCTTGGTTAGCTGGCTGGTGTAGCTAGGTCTAGGATGATACTTTAGCTGGGCATGGTGGCATGCATCTGTCATCCTAGCTACATGGGAGGCTGAGGCAGGAGGATCACTTGAGCCCCGGAATTTGAGGTTACGGTGAGCTATGGTGACACCACTGCACTCAAGCCTGGCCAACAGAGTGAGACTCTGTCTCAAAAAAAAAAAAAAAAGTATGGGGAAAAGCTTATTGGAAGGAAATACTAGCTTTAAAGGCTGGCTGGCATTGCTTTGGCAGAAGTTGGAGATAAATCATTCTAAGTGAAGGATGAGTGTAAGCAAGTCAGAGAGGTGGGAAGCCATAGTATATACTCAGGTATCAATTAGGGAAATAGGATGAGGTAGGGATTGAAAAGTGGGTGGATCCCTATTGTGGAGAGAAAGAAGTCTATATTTTAGTAGTGAGCTGAAAGCCATTGAAAGCTTTTGATTAGATGAGGATAAGGGGGTGAGGAGCTTTAGGAAAAGATAAATTTGAAATGTTTTTTGGATGTGTTCATTTAAAGATAATGCCCTCAACTAGGTTTGAGACAGTGATTCTTAGACTTCACTGTGCATAAGAATTACCTGGAAACTTTTTAAAAGTTCAATTTCCCAAGTCTCACTTCTAGAATTTTTGCTTCTGTCCATTTTAGAAAGAAAAAGAGTATTGCCATTGGCGCGTGTATGGCTTGAAAAAAGTAATGCTCTATTTTTATTGATTTGGTTTATTAGTGTATCAATTAGGTCTAAATTTGCTTCAAATAACAGTGAAACCTAAATAATCGTCCTTTTTTTTTTTTTTTTTTTGAGACAGATCTCGCTTTGTTGCCCAGGCTAGAGTAGTGCCGTGGCGTCAGCTAGCTCACAGCAACCTCAAACTCCTGGCTCAAGCAATCCTACTGCCTCAGCCTCCCAAGTTAGCTGGGACTACGGCATCGTCCCACCATGCCCGGCTAATTTTTTTTTTGTATATATTAGTTGGCAATTAATTCTTTCTATTATAGTAGAGACGGGGTCTCGCTCTTGCTCAGGCTGTCTCAAACTCCTGACCTTGAGCAATCCGCCGCGGCCTCCCAGAGAGCTAGGATTACAGGCGTGAGCCACCCGCCCGGGCCAGTTAGCCCTTTTTAATGTATGTTTTTGCCTTCTACAGTTTCAGTTACCCATGGCCCAAAAATATTTAATGGAAAATTCTAGAAATAAACAATTCATAAGTTTTAAATTGTGGGCCATCCCATCCAGGTCATGAATCATTCCTTTGTCCAGCATATCCACACTGTATACACTACCTTCTTATTAGTCACTTAGTAGCTGTCGTGGTAATCAGATTGAAGAAAACATAGAATATGTAGGGTTCAGTATTATTTGCAGTTTCAGTCATCCACTGGAGGTCTTGGAATGTATCCCCCTTGGATAAGGGGGCACTGCTGTATTAGAATATCACCTATATAATAAGCCTTCTGGGTGATTCTGATATAGGTGGCCTGGCAGTCTACATTTTGTGAAATGTAACGTTAAGAAGTGAATTGAGGGAAATTGGTCTAGGAAGGAGAGAAAACTGTATAAGGCAGAGGGATTAGTACGCCAGTCATGTGAAAAACATTTTTAGTAGTTAATTATTGCCACAATAATACCATACAACCACCCCAAAACATCAGTTTTGATCTCAAGTATGTAGGTCAGCATGTTCTTCTGATTTGGATGGGGCTTATTCATGCATCTATGGTCACTGGTGGTTGGGTAGGAAGCATTGCTCATCTTAGCTGGAGGTCGCTTGGTTAGCTGGCTGGTGTAGCTAGGTCTAGGATGATACTATATGCTTAGTAATGATAAATTATGTAATTTGAAGTTCAAAGACGTAAAAGTTCTTTAAAGTTGATTTAAAATTCATAGCTGTGCTACCATTTTTAAAGTGCTTAATTTTGTTTTTGATAGCTACAACACAAGATAATCTTGATGATAAGCTAAGAAAGTTTGAAATTCGTGACATGATGGGACTAACAGATGATAGGGACATATCGGAAACAGTGAGTGAGACTTGGAGTACAGATGTCTTGGGAAGTGACTTTGACCCTAACATTGATGAAGATCGCTTGCAAGAAATTGCAGGTAACTGCTGTTTAATGTCTCTGGAAGATTGCTGTTATTCATATCCACTGACCTTTCATGGGAAGGAACGATAGTGCTCTGGCAAACACTATGTGTGTTAGCACCAACTGGGAAACTGATACCTGTGGGGAACAAGTCACATGGATACGTTTTTCTTTACCTAATGTTTTACCTTTCTACATTAATCCCACCTCCTCACCCTCCAAACAATAGAACATCTAGTCTTTTGAATTACCTTCTGGTCAAAACTTGTTTGCAGGGCATAATATATGTTCTTTGTCTGTTCCTGATGATTATATTCTCCTTTTGAGACTAAACACCTTACCTTAAGATGAAAATTCTTATAGTTATAGCCATAAAATTTTCAGATTAATATGATACTGATGTTGCCTCAAAAAATGAGTTCACCTCTGGAAAGACTCAGTTCCAAAGGGTAGCCAGGTTTTTTTTTTTTTTTTTAATTTGAGATTTATTGAGGTGCAATTTACATACATTAAAACCCTTTTTTGGATACTATTTTAGGAGTTCTGAAAGATTCATATAATCTTGGCCAGGCGCGGTGGCTCACGCCTGTAATCCTAGCACTCTGGGAGGCCGAGGTGGGCGGATTGTTTGAGTTCAGGAGTTTGAGACCAGCCTGAGCAAGAGCAAGACCCCATCTCTACTATAAATAGAAATTAATTGGCCAACTAATATATATAGAAAAAATTAGCTGGGCATGGTGGCGTGTGCCTGTAGTCCCAGCTACTCGGGAGGCTGAGGCAGGAGCTTGAGCCCAGGAGTTTGAGGTTGCTGTGAGCGAGGCTGATGCCACAGCACTCACTGTAGTCTGGGCAACAAAGTGAGAAATTCTGTCCTCAAAAAAAAATATATATATATATATATATATATTATAATAGATTCATACAGTCTTGTAACAGCCATCCTCATTTTCTTTTTAAATCATGGAAAATTTCAAACAAATAATCAAGTGAGAATGGTATCCAGTGTAGCCATCACTCAGCTTCAACAGTTAGACACACATGGCCAGTTTTGTTTCACCTGTTCTCCCACCCACTACCTTCTACTCCCTTCACCCCAGTATGTTTAGGTGAGTTCCAGATATTATTTTATTTGTAAATATTTTATGATATATCTTTAAAACATAACTTTTAGTGGTAATTTTTTCCAATTTTTTTTCGTGCACGGAAGTAAAATTTTTCTTTTATTAGACTTAAAAGTAGTGGAGCATTCTGAACTTAAGTATTAACACAGGCATACGATAATATTTAAAACTTTGTATTTTTAATCAGGGTAAATAGATTTATTAATTGGTTTTACATTACTTTGTTCCAAACTCCAAACTAGTATTGTTCCTGGCAATAAGTTGTATTTGAGCAATAAACTGTATTTGTGGTTGAATGAGTGCTATGAAGGAGGTATGTACTTTCCTGCAAATATGTTTTATTGCTCTGAATATGTGGCTAATGTGCTAGGAGAAAGCATATTTGGCCAGTATAACTTTCTGTTTTTAAACCTCTCGGAGTGTTTTTAATCCTTGTAAGACTATAAATTTTAGATATTAAGGATACATGTAAAATTTGCTGAAAAACCAAAGTAAAAACTAGTTGAAATGACTTGATCTAATTTGCTGAAAAACCAAAGTAAAAACTAGTTGAAATGACTTGACCTAATGATGTGTATTTTCTCTATAGAGTGTCAAAGGTGGATAGGAGGAAACTGATAAATAGGAGGTTGTGTTGTTGTCAAGTGGGAACTTTGTGCTCTAGTGCTGTGCTTGATTAAACTCTTTCTTACCTTGACTTCTTTCTTGTGGTTGGAGAGATTTTGTTAGCTTAGTGTTTGGCTTTTCTCCACTATGACTGTTCTTTCCATCAGGATCTTTGTTAACCCTTTGTTCCCCACCGGTTATACAGGTGCAGCAGCAGAGAACATGTTAGGCAGTTTGCTGTGCCTCCCAGGTTCGGGATCAGTGCTTCTTGAGCCCTGTACTGGTTCTACAATATCGGAGACAACAAGCGAAGCTTGGAGTGTAGAGGTGTTGCCAAGTGACTCAGGTTAGTACTCTGTCATCATTTGTTTTTCATTTACACGGAAGTTTTAAATATAAGGTATCCTAATTTCTGTATTATGTATATTTTGCCAAATAGACATTTCACAAGTTTAAGGTAATCACATTTGCTAAGAATTTCAAATGGAAAATTAGTGTAGGGCATATTCTGTCCATTAAGAAAAAATGGAAGGCCAGTCGCGGTGGCTCATGCCTATAATCCTAGCACTGGGAGGCTGAGGCGGGCAGATAGCTTAAGATCAGGAGTTCAAGACCAGCCTGAACAAGAGCAAGACCCCATCTCTACTAAAAATAGAAAGAAATTAGCTGAATAACTACAAATATACATAGAAAAAATCAGCTGGGCATGGTTGGGCATGCCTGTAGTCCCAGCTACTCAGGAGGCTGAGACAAGGAGGATCACTTGAGTCCATGAGTTTGAGGTTGCTGTGAGCTAGGCTGATGCCACGACACTCTAGCCTGGGCAACAGAGTGAGACTCTGTCTCAAAAAAAAAGAAAAAATTCAGTGTTAGATAGCATAGGTTAAGATGACAGGTGCTTTCTAACTCTGTGCTCAGTTATTTTGGAAGCAATTATCAATATTTGTAACTTATCAGGGTTCTTTGTGGGTCATTGGGTTCAGTATCTTCTACTATTAATAACTCATCACAGGCCGGGCACGGTGGCTCATGCCTGTAATCCTAGCACTCTGGGAGGCCGAGGAGGGTGGATTGCTCAAGGTCAGGAGTTCAAAATCAGCCTGAGCAAGAGCAAGACCCGCGTCCTCTACTATAATAAAAGAGAATTAATTGGCCAATTAACATATGTATAATATATATACACATATATATACATATATATACACACCCATATATATATATATATTTATATATATATATGTATATATATATGTATATGTATAATATAATTAGCTGGCATGGTGGCACATGGCTGTAGTCCCAGCTACCTTGGGAGGCTGAGGCAGCAGGATTGCTTGAGCCCAGGAGTTTGAGGTTGCTGTGAGCTAGGCTGACGCCACAGCACTCACTCTAGCCTGGGCAACAAAGCAAGACTCTGTCTCAAATAAAAAAAACTCATCACAGAATGAGAGTAACAACACAGATCAAACCCTGAGTGGTTGATGCTTGGTAAGCATATTTAGATTTATCACAAGGAAGAACTTGACCCTTTAAAAGATATGTAATGTGTTTTTGAAATACGTTAAAATTGAGGCTCTGTAGTCCTGAGAATACTTTTGTGCAGGGTTATTATAAATATTAATATATATATATATAAAGCGTTTTGTATGTACTCTATTTCTTTTTCGCATCATTAAGACATGTCTTTGCCTTCAACTAAATGTCAACTACCAGAATGCAAATATAAGTAACTATATCTGTATTACATTTTATCTGATTTATTTGGCTCAAGACTAATTCAGTAATTCTGACATGTATTTTATTTATGTTAAAGCATTCAGACATGTTAGCCTGGAGACAAGCTATTCCATACTCTCTTGTCAAGTTTACATGTTAATAAACAGCATAGTCAATGAGATTAGTGATCTAGAAACCAGAGTTTTCATGTGTGGACAGTGAACTGGCCTATGTTGGGATGAAAATCACAATCTTGACTACTTCATCTAACTTTGCTTACTGGCCCAGACTTAGTAATCTGTTTCTACTGATTTCATATATGGCCCTGGTAGCTTTGTTTCTCTGAGTCACAAAAGCTAAAATTATATCTGCTAACAGGATCACTAATATAATGCCCCTTGTCTTCTATTCAGAGGCCCCAGACCTAAAGCAGGAGGAGCGCCTACAAGAGTTGGAGAGCTGTTCTGGACTGGGTAGCACATCTGATGATACAGATGTCAGGGAGGTCAGTTCCCGCCCCAGCACACCAGGCCTCAGTGTTGTGTCGGGTATGTCTGTCTTGTTTTAAGGAATAGGAATTTGAAAGTGTTCCTCTCATCTACCCTCATTCATGAAGTTGATACAAAGATATGTTTTATTTAAGAGATTGAGTGTTTTCCAGGAAACAAAAATATTTCTGTGGCACTTTAAATCTTTGAAAACTTAATGTATGGCTCTATAGAGCCTGTTGAAGTAATAGGCAAATAGTCCCTTTACAATTCTTTTTAGTCTTAGTAGCGTCTGCTACTTTATTCAGATATCACATAATAATTCCATGTTGTATAAAGCAAGGTAAGTATATTTAAGCAATAGTGTGATAAAGAATGTAATACTAAACAACTCATATGTATAGAAGTGGGACACAAACAATTTGTTAATGTTTTCCAAATTTCATATACTTTTTGTGTGGTTATTTTGTTCTTCTTGCTGTTTATTTTATTATTTTTTATTTAGGTAAATTTTTTCTTTTTTAATTTTTTTTCTTTTTTTCACATCACAAGAGCAATTAAAGGCTAAATTGCTGTTTATTTTTTACTATTTTTTTTAAAGGCATAAGTGCAACCTCTGAGGATATTCCCAATAAGATCGAAGACCTGAGATCTGAGTGCAGCTCTGATTTTGGGGGTAAAGATTCTGTTACTAGTCCAGACATGGATGAAATAACTCATGGTAAGAAAAGGAATTGAGAATGACTTAAAAGTAATCATGTTCGTAGTTGAAACTGGCATTTTTACCCATTGTTTTTGATGATATCAGTTGGTATAGCACTTTGGGGCATAATTTATCAATACATATTTAAGGCCTTAAATGTTCACATTCTAAATTTGGTCCAGTTAGTTCCACTTCTAGAAATCAGTCATAAAGAAATAATTCCATGTATAGAGAAAAGTCTTATGCACAAAGATATTCTTTAGTAACATTTATGTTGGCAGAAAATTGGAAACAAGAGTTGAAAGTGGAATAGCTAAATAAATTTTGATGTAACCATTTATTAGAATTTATGAAGCTATTTTTTTTTTTTGAGACAGTCTCACTTTTGTTGCCCAGGCTAGAGTGAATGCCATGGCATCAGTGTAGCTCATAGCAACCTCAAGCTCCTGGGCTCAAGCGATCCTTCTGCCTCAGCCTCCCAAGTAGCTGGGACTACAGGCATGTACCATCATGCCTGGCTAATTTTTCTATATATTTTTAGTTGGCCAATTAATTTCTTTCTATTTTTAGTAGAGATGGGGTCTTGCTCAGGCTGGTTTCGAACTCCTGACCTTTAGCAATCCTCCCACCTCGGCCTCTCAGAGTGCTAGGATTACAGGCTTGAGCCACTGCGCCGGGCCTGTAGCTATTTTTTAAATGCTTTAAAGAGTATGAAATAACTTGTAGAAATACCTAGAACACAATATTGCATGGAAAATCTATTTGATAGAATTTTACATGCAAGATAAAACATTAAAAAACTTATGCATTGACAAAGAACAGGAAAGAAATACCAAAAGGCCAGCAGTGGTTTTATATGTTGGGCAGTGGGTTTTGAGGTATCTTTTCTTTTTAACAGTTTTTGTTGTTGATGTTCTAAACCAGGGTTTGTTAACCTCAATAATATTGACATTTTGGGCTGGGTAATTCTTTGTTGCCAGAGTCTGTCCTATGAGATGTAGAATGTTTAGTGGTATCCCTGGCCTCTACCAGTAGCATATACTTACCTGCTGGGCTTGTGACAACCAAAAATGTTCCAGACATTGCCAAATGATCCTTTGGGGGACCAAATAGCTGCCATTTGAGAACCACTGTTCTAAACCAGCAGTCTCAGTGTAGTCTCCATGGACCACTGACAGTCCTTAACAGCCTTTTGGCAGGCCGGGGGTGGTAGTGGTGGAATATGAGGTCAAGACTATTTTCATAATAAACGTTATTATCCGTTTTCGTTGTGTTGACATTGAAAGTGTACCAATGATGTGTACTAATGATGCACTAGCAAAGGTGGATAAAATTTACCAGAGCCTTAGCTTGGTCAAGGGTACTAAACCATACAAGTAGTCACTGTATTCTTTACTCACAGTTTAAAAAAAAACTTTTACTTATGAATGCTTTTGATGAAGTAGTAAAAATTATTTAATTACATCTCAACCCTTGATTATACATCTTTTTATTATTCTGTGTGAAGAAATAGGAAGTTCCTCAGTGCATTTCTGCTGCATTCTGAGATACAGTCAGATGTCTCAAGAAAAAGTGCTCATATGTTTACTTGAGCTGTTAGCGTAACTAGCTAGGTTTTTTTTTGTTTTTTTTTACTTGTTAATTTGTTTTTCATGAAATACCATTTTTACTTGAAAAAAATGACAAACTAGTGTGTGTGAATACATACTTTGGTATTTGGCAGACATTTTCTTAAAAATGAACAAAGTGAGCCTGTTACTTAAGAAAAACAACTGACAGAGTAGAGTTTGTTGCCAATAATCAAAATTTCAGTCTGGGCATGGTGGCTCATGCCTGTAATCCTGACGCTCTGGAGGAGGCCAAGGCAAGAGGATTGCTTCAGGCCAGGAGTTTGAGACCAGCCCGAGCAAGAGCCAGACCTGGTCTCTACTAAATACAAGAAATCATGAGCCAGGCCTGTTGGCGTTAGCCTGTGGTGCTAGCTACTTGGGAGCCTGACACAAGAGGATTGCTTGAGCCCATGAGTTGGAGGCCACAGTGAGCTATGATGATGCCACTGCGCTCCAGCCTGGTTGACAGAATGAGACCCCATCTCTTAAAAAATAAATAAATAAAAATTAGAATTTTAAAAACTTGTATTCACCTCCATGAGCTTGACAGCTTCCTATTAGTTAAAGACTTTTCTGGTGAGACTGGTGTTTATATCAAGAATGTGATTTTTTATATTATATGATGAAATGTATCAGCATTTGGAAGATCTGCATATCTGATTGAAACAGTATTTTCTAAATGATTAATACACAGTGTTACAAAATCATGCATGAGTAAAAGATCCTTTCAAAGTGCAAGATATACCAATTAATTTTAATGTAACAGAGTACAAAATTTCATTGATTTGGTTTCAAATTCTACCTTGTAGCTAATCTGTAAAAAACTACTACTTGTCAGGATTTGGTAGAGTATCAAAGAAGAATATACACAATTTTCTGAAAAGGTTATTAAAATATTGTTCCTTTTTGCCTGGGCGAGGTGGCTCACGCCTATAATCCTACCACTCTGGGAGGCCAAGGCGGGCGTATTGCTCGAGGTCAGGAGTTCGAAATCTCAACTTCTAATAGATCAAACAAGGAAAACTATCAGAGAGCACTTAGAACCCTTTGCACTGTTTGGTAATTCTGTCTGGCTCAGTCTCACAATTTGCCCTCTTGTTTCAGGCGCCCACCAGCTGACCTCTCCTCCTTCTCAGTCAGAGTCTCTGCTGGCCATGTTTGATCCACTATCTTCACATGAAGGTAAACTAATGAAAGGAACTTTTTGACCTTTGTTATAGACAGAGCAAAGAAACCAAAACCCTTTGTTAATGCTTTGTTGGATTAGTTATTTTTGTTGGATTTGTTAATGCCTTTGTTGTATCTCAGTTACAAAACCTTTTTTTTTTTCCTGTTTTGCAGGAGCTTCTGCTGTGGTTAGGCCAAAGGTTCACTATGCTAGGCCATCACATCCACCACCAGATCCCCCAATCCTGGAAGGAGCTGTGGGAGGAAATGAGGCCAGGTTGCCAAACTTTGGTTCCCATGTTTTAACTCCAGCCGAAATGGAGGCATTCAAGCAAAGGCATTCTTACCCTGAGAGATTAGTTCGAAGCAGGAGCTCTGATATAGTATCTTCTGTCCGGCGACCCATGAGTGATCCCAGCTGGAACCGACGTCCTGGGAATGAAGAGCGAGAACTCCCTCCGGCTGCAGCCATTGGTGCTACTTCTTTAGTGGCTGCACCTCACTCATCATCTTCATCCCCGAGTAAGGACTCCTCAAGAGGAGAGGTATGGGACACAGGCCATGTAAAAAAATTTGCTAATTGTGGTTAGCTTTAGTGTTCTATCTGCCTGATTCTGTTGATATCTTGAATTAACATGGAATGTATAGATATAAGATTACGGATGCACAGTAGTCATGATTAAAGATGATTTGTTGGCTGGGCACAGTGGCTCATACCTGTAATCCCAGCACTTTGGGAGATGGAGGTGGGAGGACCACTTGAGGCCAGGAGTTCAAGATCAGCCTGGGCAATAGTGAGACCTGGTCTCTACAAAAAATAAAAAAATAAATTAGCCAGGCATGGTCATGCACATTGGTGGTCCTAGATACTCAGGAGGCTGAGGCAGGAGGATTGCTTGAGCCCAGGAGTTGGAGGCTATAGTAAGCTATGATGATGCCACTGTACTCTAGCCCAGGCAACAGGGCGAGACCCCGTCTCTAAGGGGAGAGAAAGAGAGAGAGACAGACAGACAGACAGACAGACAGTCTAATATGCCCACAACCATAGGAAATCTATACAACTTTGGTTTTGTATTAATACTAATACTGTCTTGCATTTTATGACACTTTTAACTTTTCTCCAAGCAATTTTGTATCTGATGATTTTGTAACCATCTGAGATGGTTAGATGAGGTATCATTTTTTATCTTGAAACAATCATGAAGTTACAAAAAATTTGGAAGTATAGTAAAAGAATACTTCCTCCCTACTTGAGAGCAAGTTGCCAACCTGATACTCCATCACCTCTGAATATGAATACTTTAGTGTAAGTTTCCCACAGACAGGCACATTCTCCTGCACATCATAGTACAACCATCAGCATCAACAAACGAACACTGATATATCACTACCATCTAATTTTCACACCCCATGCACTTGTGTTGCAGTTGTTCCCATAGCATTCTTTATAGTAAAGGATCCCATCCAGAAGCACAGGCTGCTTTTAGTTGTCATGTCTTTTTAGATTCTTTCAGTCTGGGACAGTTCCTCAGTTTATATGACCTTGACACTCTTGAAATTTACAGACCAGTAATTTTCTAGAATGTCCCTCAATTTTGGTTTGTTTGATGTTTTCTCTTGATTAAATTCAGGTTATTCATCTTTGGCAGAGTATAACTGAAACGACACTGTTCTTTTCATTGCATCCTGTCAGGTAGCACACAATTTTAATTTGTCCCATTACTCTATGGTCTTCATCTGGATGAAGGTGGTGTCTTCTAGGCTTTACCACTATAAAGTTACTTTTTTCCCCCTCTATAATTTATAGGTATTTTGTGGGGGGGATAATTTGAAAATATGTAACTATCCTGTTCTTCATCATATTTTAAACTTATCTACTTATTAATTATATCTGTTGTCTCATGGTTTTCTCTTTTAGTCAATGGGCTTATCACTCGATCATTTATTTTGAAGCCCAGTTATCCCTAATTTGGCCAATGGGATCCCCTTCAAGCTGCTTCTGAGTTCATTTGACATATCGCTATTATTCTTTGAGAATTTCTTTGCTTTCTGGCACAAGATGTTACAAGCTTACGTTGTACTTTGTCTGCCCTAGTCCTAGAATTAGCCATTTCTCTAAGGAGCCCTTGTTCCTTTTAGTGAAAAATGGTTTTTAGAAATTGAGATCTGGATACAGTGTTCATTGCTGTAGGGCTGTTGCTATTTCCAGGACTTGTCAGTGGACAGAGCTAGGGAGTATGTGTGTGTGTTTATACACACACATTTACCAGTGTATTTATTTCTATATCTGTCTTTTTCTATAAATAGAAACGTGAGCTCATACTGACACTTTCAATTCTAGTCCAGAAACAACAGAATTTGTTTCATTTTTCTTCCTTTCCATATTTGTAACTCCCTTCTCCAACAGTGAGAAACCTGCTTTCATTATGTTTTGTGTATGTACTTATTTGATCAGTCCCCCTGTATGTAATCAAGTTCTCATCCCCACTGCCAACTCCTCCCTAGCATAGATGCCAGGCCTCATCTCTCTGCTAGGGTTCTGATACCTCATTCACATGGATGCCCTTAAAGAGGGTGTTTTTAATCTGGTATTTTTAATGGTTTTGTAAATGAAAAAAATGTAAATTAAGTGATTTGTTCATGATCATTTGATAGGCTAGTAAAGGAATTACTGTCTTTGCCCTTTGACATTTCTTAGTGATAATTCAGTATAATTGGTGATCAAGAAATGATCTAAGTTTAAGTCTCAGCTGTGTCACATACAGGCTGTGTAACTTTGAGGAAAATGGGAGATTACTTTTTTTAGTCTCATATTTCTCATCTATAAAAAGGGCTTAACAATAGGACCTATCTCCTAAGGCTTCTGTGATGATGAAATGAGATAATATTATGTATATTCTTATGCTTAGTATTTGGCATATAGTACATACTTGCTTTGTTATTATTAAATACTACTATTACCATCTCTACTACTCCTCTGGAGTTTATTTGCACTGCATTTATTTATTCCATAAGTATTTATTGAGTGCCTACTGTACACCAGTCTCTGTATTAAGCTTTTGGTTTACTAACATAATGAGATAGTGCCTGCTCTCAAGCAGATGATAGTCTGGTGCTTAAAATGTATACTTTCATGTTCCAGAAGTCGCCTACATGGCAATAAGAACAGCTTTGTTTTAAGGCAGACAAGACTGGTTTTTGTATTTCGCAGACTTCTGAAATCCTTTTCATAGTAATTCATCCTGCTGCCAAACTCCAAATAAAGCATCCAACTTTTTCTACAGACTGAAGAACGCAAAGATAGCGATGATGAGAAATCAGACAGGAACAGACCTTGGTGGAGAAAACGTTTTGTTTCAGCCATGCCTAAAGGTAATTTTATAAAATACTAGAATGCTGTAATTATTAGCAACAAGAAGCAAAGCCATAAAATCTCTTTCAGAGAGCCAGTATATCAGCTCCTCTTTGAGACTTGCTGGGCCTAAGTTTCTAGCTGTTTTGAAGATATAGAAAATGGTTTCACTCATGAATGTTAAGCCAGAGCTTTAGAAATGTTCTTGTTCTTTGCAGGAAGTGGTAGTGATTTCATAAATGGAAGTCATGCTGGTCAACTATTGTTTAAGTATCATCATATACTATTGAAGTTAAACCTGGGACTTTTGACATATGTATTGCTATTAATTACTACATGAAAATGGGATACCATTGGTAATTAAACATTCCCCTGGATTGTTAATGTCCTGGAATAAATTTAAGCTTTCTATGTCTATATTCGTTGAGAATGTTTATGTTCTAAATATTAGTGAGTGTTTATTTTGGAAGGTAGTTGTATAAAATTGTTTGCTTTTTTGGTGAATAGCCTGGCATCATTTGAATTGGCAGAAGCCTCTCTTCCTGAAAGGAGAGATCATCCAGGAGTAAAGCTGGGGACTTGGTCCAAAGGCCTCTTCTCAGCCCTGTGGCGCTTAGGAACTGAGGAGAGCTGCTTTCATGCCATACTCAGGCCCACTTGAGGAGGAGAGAATGAGCCGAGGAGTTTTCACTGTGTTGTCTTTGAGCAGAGGTGAAGAGGCAGTGGTTTTGATTTAGTCCCAATGGATTCCTGTGAAATCATTCTTCCTATAGCAGATGACTCCAAAGCAGATTCTGAAAGCTCCTTTTAAGAAACTTCAATGCTATTTTAAGAACGATTATCAGCTGACACTTGGGATTTCTTAGCTTTTAAACTTTTCAACTTCCTTTCACTTGGAAATGTTGGCACACCAGTTAACTTCCAAGTAGTGCAGTATGTTATATGTCACACTACTGACTTTATTTAATTTCCAGCTCCTATACCATTTAGAAAGAAAGAAAAACAAGAAAAAGACAAAGATGATCTGGGGCCTGACAGATTCTCAACACTCACAGGTTTGTAGACCCATGGACTTCCTGGCTCCTTCATTCCCAGAGCACATATTTCATAACACTTTTTCTTGGGTGCCATAAGCGTTGCCTTTTTAGAAGAGTGTGTCTGTGTGTGTATAGTGGGGAGTATGTTCTTCATAGCTCTGTGGTTTCCAGTTGGCAGCCACAGTGAATCTCAGTGTGCTCTTCCTGCAGACTGCCACCACCATCATCATCCTCATTATCATAACTTCTGTTTATGATGAGGCCCTGATGCTGAGCCTCTAGGCATACCCTACAACTTGACATCTAGTGGGATGATGACACACAGTGCCTTTTAGGAGAGTGTGGTGACGGTTTTAGTGCTATGCATGCCATATCTTTGGATCGTTGATTGAATAGTTTTCTCTAACATTAATTGTAGACTTCTAAATTTATTTTCATCTAGAGTTCTTGATTATTCAGGATCACAATGAAATTGTTTTACCTAATCATTTCCTTTTTTGTGTCTGTTCAAACAGTATCATAAATGCCAACCATTATAATAAAAGTTTTAAAAACTTTACTAATTTTTTACAGCTTGAACCATTTTAACATTGCTGTCTAACTCATGGAAAATAAAACTAGGGGTTGAGTTCTTCCCTTATTCAGTATTTGTATTTCTGCAGCTTCTTTCTGGCACATTATGAAGGAGCACCCTAACAGGAGAGTTTAAGAGGTAGTGTTAATGACACAACCTTGGGTTTGATAGCTGTGTATTGCTTCCAGTGGCTATAGAGTATCTAGAGGGAAGTCCATTTCTTACCTTTCCTCTTTTTTTCTTATCTTGATTTTAAATTATGTTATCCTACTAAGTGAAAATAAAGATTTTGTTATTAAAAAGTGAGGTAGGTTTCGAAAACATCCTCCTCAAAGAATTCAGCATAGTAGACTGGGCGTGGTGGCTCACGCCTGTAATCCTAGCACTCTGGGAGGCTGAGGCGGGCTGATCGCTCAAGGTCAGGAGTTCAAAACCAGCCTGAGCAAGAGTGAGACCTGTCTCTACTATAAATAGAAAGAAATTAATTGGCCAACTAAAATATGTAGAAAAAATTAGCTGGGCATGGTGGTGCATGCCTGTAGTCCCAGCTACTCGAGAGGCTGAGGCAGCAGGATTGCTTGAGCCCAGGAGTTTGAGGTTGCTGTGAGCGAGGCTGACACCATGGCACTCTAGCGTGGGCAACAGAGTGAGACTCTGTCTCAAAAAAAAAAAAGAATTCAGCATAGTATAGGTAGAATCCCATTTTAATGCATATCATTTTAATGTCTAGTTAAATATATATATTATCTTTATACACATAAATATATATTTAGGTATATTTCTATGTCCTAGCATATACTTCCTTGACTTATTTGATATTGTGACTTCCCTGGTATAAAGGGTTTTGAATAACAGTGCTTACAGGCTATGGTTTCCTGCTGAGAGCAGCCAGGCCTGTCCTGTTTAATCGGCAAATATTTGTTGACCATCTGACTCATGCCAGGCACAGTGCTAAGTGTTGTGGATATTAAGTCAAATCACACATGGCCTCTGTCTTATTGGGAAGAGTTGGAATGACATTGTCCTTTTGGCAAGGTATTTATGTATCCTTCCCACATGTTTCTAATGTTAGAAGAACACTAAAGTTTTACTTGCACCTTTGGACAATACATTTCTCTTGGTTCTTGGTGCTGGGATGAGAAGCTAAATAGAGTAGAATAAGTTTTTTTCTTAAAATAATTCATTTTCTTTGGGTATGATTTAAGCAGGTTAGCTTCCCTACTGGTCCAGAAATTTCTACTAAGTCCTAATTAATGACCTGTTGAAAAGTTATCATGAGATCAATTTTAAAATGATATAAAAGGAAATTTCTTAACAGTCCATAATCCTGCCACCTTATTTTTTTCATGTTCTCTTCCAGTCTTTTTCCATATTTATATGTGTTTTTTCTTGATTAGATTAGATTATGCATTTGCCTTTGTATTCTTTTACCGCATGTGATTTTATAGACCCTCTCCCAGTTTCCATTAGACATAGTTGGGTTTTTAATAATTTTTATTGGCTATAAAAGAATATATCATATGATTCTACTACAGTGTAAATGTACTCTTACTAGTGGATATTTAAATAGTTTACCAATTTTTTATTATGAAAACAGTGCTCATAGCTTTGTAACGTATATAGCACTTTTTGTTTAATTATTTTCCTGAGGTAAAATTTTTAAGAATGATGTTAACAGACAGAAATAAAGGTTATAAACATTATGGCTCTCATTATTTTTAGCCAGCACTCAAAAGCATTAACCAAAAAGTACTCCCCTCCTGCAAAATAAGATTCTGTAATGATAAAGGTTTTACCAGTTTACATTTGGAAAAGAACAGATTAGATTAGGAATGTCTTATCATGAATTCAAATGCCATTGTAGCAGAAATACTAAATTTACTTTGGAAACGCTCTTTTTATATAGTCGTTGCTTGGTATACATGGGGGATTGGTTCTAGGACACCCCTCCCCTGTCCTCCAGGTATACCCAGATTTCTGCATACTCAAGTCCTACAGTTGGCCCTGTGGAACTCAGAAAAAGTCAGCCCCCTGCATACTCAGGTTTTGCATGTCAGGAATACAGTATTTTTGATCTGCTTTGGGTTGAAAAAAATCGATGTATAAGCAGAGCTGTGCAGCTCAAACCCATGCTGTTCGTGGGTCACCTGTAGTTTCCTACAGTTTTATAGAAACATAAATACCAAATATTTATCTCATGGAAACAGCAGAAGAGCTTGTGAGCCTGCTGCCTAACTTCTGTGTGCCTTGATTTCCTCTTCTGTAAGTTGGGGTGATGTCATTGATGATTAATTGAGAGAGTTCATATAAGGTCCTTAGCACAGTTCCTGGCATGTGGTAAGTGCTCAATAAATGTTAGCTGTTGTTAATATTAGCTGCTATGGACACACACACCCACCCATGATCTAATGATTTTGATGTGTTTTTAGATTTTTTTTAAAAATGGGATTTTACCAGACTGTGAACATTTATGGTTACCTACTTGGCCTAGATCTATCCCAGCTATTTGTGTTTCACTATGGAATTTTATTTTGTTCTGTAGCTCTATAGCAGTTCTTTGCTTTAACAACCCAGTTAATTAATGACTACCATTTTAGACTCTAGGGTAACATTTTTGATGTGCTGATTTTGTTGACAGGGTAACGGTCCTGTCAGTAAACAGTACTGCATTTGTGATTGTGATAAGCTTTTTCTCTGTGCATCCCAGGTACAATTCCAGCACTCCCTGAGAATGTTTAGATTCTCTAGGAGTGCCTCCTACACCATTGCATGCACAAAATGCTCTATTCCAGCAGCTGCACTGTCATGGTGAGATCTAGTGAGATATGAATACCTATAGTTTTCAAATGTGGTGTAGAAAGAAATCATGGAGGAAGGAAGAATGGAGGTAGACCTGTTTTATTATTGAAAAGGGTTTAAGTCTAAGTTTGAATAGTTCTTTTTTTCCTCCTTCAGCATGGAGATGTCGAAATAAATGAAGTCTGCACATAAAAATGCATTGTTCGAACTTCTGTTAGCATGAATTGCTAATAACAGTGATTTGAGTGTAAGCACTTTAAAAATCCGTCATCCATTCAGTCTGCACTGAACTTTGACACTGTCATGCAGAATTCTGGTGATGATGAGAAAGTGGAGCTACTCCTCCCAATTTCCTGCTTTGACAAGGATCTCAGACTTAGAAATGGGATGAGTAGGCAGCTGCATGGTGCCTCTTAACTTTGAGATATGTGCTCTTTTAAGTCTTACCTCCTAATCTGCCTTTGGGATTATGCTACTGGTGTCATACTAACATCAGAGTTAGTACAAACCAAAGGAGCTAATTCTCACTCTCCTTTCCCTGCAGATGATCCCAGCCCTAGACTCAGTGCACAGGCTCAGGTTGCTGAGGACATTCTGGACAAATACAGGAATGCCATTAAACGGACCAGCCCCAGCGAGGGAGCAATGGCAAACTATGAAAGTGCAGGTGATAATCACGATAAAGATTTGAATAGTAACTTTTAGATCACAGTGATAAAGGAAATCTGAATTTAAATAGCCTTTAAAAGAAAGAGTAGCTAGGGGAACCATTTTATTACCTCAAAATTACAGACTTTATAACCAAATCAGATTAAATTGATGTCCCTCTCCATACTCTCCTACTAAGTGTGGGTACCTCTGATGTTCACAAGCCTTAGAGTTGTCATCCTCTGAGTCTGGGGCGACTGGCCCAGAGGGAATTGGGGCATGCTTTAATAGGAAGAGATTCATTTTTACTGTCTTCAGTACTGTAATTTTATCTGGTTATGCACTTAGTATAGCTGTGGGAACAGCCTCTTAGGACAGGTTATCCATTGTTACTTCGTACTTATTTTTTAAAGGATTCTGTTTTTCTTATAGTGGAATGCTAACTAGCTGTCAGAAAAATGTGGTACAGTCCCTAAGATAAATTAAGGGGGAAAAGTATATAAAAGCATAAACAGTTTACTGCAGATACTTATGCTTGTATATGAATAGAATATCTTTGGAAGAATCTCCAACAAACTGGTAACATGAGTTGACTCTGAGGAGGACTCCTGGGGAGGCTGAAAGGGACAGTGAGGAGAGAGGAGAACTTCTCACTTTTTTTTATTTTGAAAAGTTTTAAAATAACGTAAAAGTTAGAAGAATAGTACAGTGAAGGTTCATATACCTAGACTTACCAATTGTTAACATTTTGCCACATTTCCTCTCTATGTTTTTTCCTTTTTTTCTTGAAGCATTTGAAATTATCTCCTAAGAATAAGGATACCTTCCAACATAAACACAATATCTTTTTTTACATTCAGGAACTTTTTATTCCTTTTGATTTTGTACATGTATTATCTATTCTTAATTGATTAAAAACATAAAAATAACTGTGGGAACTTTAGATCTGACCTGGCTGCATTTGTGGATTGGTTCCCTGACTCATTCTTGGGTGTGGTGAGAGAAGCTCCAGTGGGCAGAAGCAGGATGCCTGAGCCCTTGGTCCACCTTGGCATTGGGCAAGGGATTTAGAGTAGGCCATTCTCTGACTGGGCAGGAGTCCATGCCTATAAAATGAGGGTATTGTATAAATGATTTTTGAGGCCTCTTCTAGTTTTATGGTTCAGTGATTCTGGTTACAGGATACTAACTTTTATTAAGTTAATACAGGCTTTCATTGTTTTGCATCTGGATTGGGAAAAGAGGTAAAACCATTCTCTTCCCAACAACTACTGTCTTGATTCATTATTGTTGGTGTTGATAACTTGGTTAAGTGTTTGAGGTTTTTTTCTTTTTTTCCAAATAACTCTTATTGTGAGTCAATGCTAATTTATGGTTGAGTTGCTCTGAATACCAGCTAGTGCCAGAATATTTCAAATTAACCTGGTTTGTCCTTTTCTGGGGTGGGGTGGGTTTTGTTTAGAGGTCATGGGTGATGGTGAAAGTGCACATGATTCTCCGCGGGATGAAACGCTGCAGAACATCTCGGCTGATGATCTCCCCGACTCTGCAAGCCAAGCAGCCCACCCTCAGGACTCAGCTTTCTCTTACAGGTATTTCTTTTATAGGATTTGGGACTTTCGGGTTTGGACTTTGCATCACCATTGCAGTCACTTCAAGTCAAGTGATTCATTGAGTCACTTAATAAATGTATACAGCAGAGAAATAAGAATGAAATGCTGTTTACTAAGAAGACTTTGCTTCAGTTGGGGATGTCATATATGAAGCTCAGGGATTAAAAAAAGCTCATATGCCCATAGAAACTGTGTGAATAATTGAAATGAAACAGGTTGCAGTGCCCTTGCCCATGCAAAGCTGCCAGCCCATATGAGGAAGGGCAGGAGCTGGGATCGGCTACAGGGTGTTGGATAACCCACTGTCTCCAGTAGAACCACTGGAGCCCTGTCAGTTTGTCTTCCTTCTCATCCCCTGGGTGGGTCTTTTTTTTTTTTTCCTTGGAGACAGGGTCTCCCTTTTTGCCCAGACATGAGGACAATAGCCAGTAGTATGATCATAGCTCACTGTAACCTCAAACTCCTGGGCTCAAGTGATCCTCTTGCCTCAGCCTCTCAAGTAGCTGGGACTACTACAGATATTCACCACCACACCCAGCTAATTTTTCTATTTTTTGTAGAGACAGGGTCTTGCTATGTTGCTCAGGCTAATCTCAAACTCCTGACCTCAAGCGATCCTCCTGCCTTGGCCTCGCAAAGGCCTAGGATTACCAGCATGAGCCACTGTGCCCAGCCTCTTTCTCTTTTTAATGGGGCTTCAGAAAGAACATGACTTTAGGATTCTGCAATTTTTCCATTTGCTTAATAAGGAATCTGTGTTTCCCTCAGACAAGGAGCATCACTTTTAAGGCATCATTATCTCTTGTGGACTTAAGAAGTTCTCTCTCTCTCAACTTTTTATTCTAGAAATTTTCAAACCTGTACAAAAATAAGAATACATCAATATACTCATTACCCAGATTCAACAGTTACATATGACTGATATTGTTTCATATTTACTGTTCCCTAATTATTTTAAAGCAGAATCTAAATAGCATATTATTTTATTTATAAATATTGTGATGCTTTACAGTTTTTTTTTCCTACAGTAAGATTGGGGGTAGAGGCAGACAAAATTTTTATTTCTTGCTATGACTTATTTTGCTAAATTCATCAGGTTACTTTACCATTATGGATGAATATTGTATTTGATCAGTTTGATTTCTGAATCACTCATTTTATATGAAGAAAAATGATGGGGAAAGATTCAGAGCTAGTCAGATGAGTTGTGCAGGGGTAACCCTACAGAGGGAGGCACACACTCTGGCCTGTTCTCTAAGGTGTTTAGACTCCTTCTTTGGATGGCAGGTTTGAACATTCTCAAGAAGTTCTGGTTCATGCCCCATAGAACCAGAAAGCGCCACAGGCACCAGCAGATAAAATAAACTTGATGGTATCTGTCAGTATGAAAAGCTGCATTGTTGGGGAGGGCGACACCTTACTGAAGAGTGTTCTACCATCAGGTGGTTCTGTAGTTGGAAGTTAAAAGGAAGCAGATTTTGGCTCAACATGAAAAACTTTCTAGCAGTAGAGCGATAGGGCTTCTTGTCAAGTAATGAGCTTGTTTTGTGGCAGAATCAGCATTTCTCAAGAGACATGGAAAAGGACATTCTAAATTTGGGTGGTTCCGATGACTTCTGTAGTCCACCCACTCTGGCATAATATACTCTCCTCATTCTCCTCATGGTGCCTATCGTAGAACTCAGCATGTGATAAAAGGTCAAAAAGGATTTGTTGTTTGGCTAGTTCTGGTGACTTTACAGAACGGTCCTTGTCCAGAGCACTTTTATACCTTGCTTCTCAGGTGACTAGAAAGCCTGTTTTTTTAAGTGGGGTGTCAGTAACTTAAAAATTGTCTTTTTTTTAAAAATGACCATTTGAAACATTTGAATTCTATAGTAAAATATTAATTTATATAGTAAGTAATCATAAAATGTGACCATATTTGGATAAAGAAATTAGCATGTTTTTACTTGTTCTTCAGAGATGCGAAAAAGAAACTGAGGCTTGCTCTTTGCTCTGCCGACTCTGTTGCCTTCCCAGTGCTAACCCATTCAACAAGGAACGGTTTACCAGACCATACAGACCCAGAAGGTACGTTGCTGCAGGATGTCTTATTTGTTCTTATATTTGTAGGTTGAACCATATGAAATTGCCAATATTCAGCTTTTTAAGCTATACAGCAATTCCATATGGTTCAACTGAATACATTTGTATTAGTGTCACTTAAGGGCATTTTGATTACTCATGGTTTATTAAAGTATTTTCTAATTGGGAGTGGCAATACAGCTTAGTTCTAATGATACATGATAAAGCAGAATTGACATCCCAGATGCTGAGATGTTATGTACAGCTTATGTAATTAAGCCCCTGGAAATTCTCAATAATAACAGAATTCTTATTTTTTTTATTTAGACAATGAAATTGTATGCTTCTTAAAAGTTCAAATAGCTGAAGCAATTAATTTACAAGATAAGAACTTAATGGCTCAACTTCAAGAAACAATGCGTTGTGTATGCCGTTTTGATAATAGGACTTGTAGAAAACTCCTGGCATCTATTGCTGAGGACTACAGGTAATATACCCAGCCTGTTCAGCTTGTACACCTCATTTTTATCTGCAAGTGTTTTCTTTTTTTTTTTTTGAGACAGAGTCTCTGCCCTGGCTAGAGTGCCATGGTGTTAGCCTAGCTCACAGCAACCTCAGACTCCTGGGCTCAAGCAATTATACTTCCTCAGCCTCCCGAGTAGTGGGGACTACAGGCATGTGCCACCATGCCTGGCTAATTTTTCCTTTATGTTTTTAATTAGCCAATTAATTTCTTTCTATTTTCAGTAGAGATGAGGTCTCGTTCTTTCTCAGGCTGGTTTTGAACTCCTGACCTTGAGCGATCCTCCTGCCTCAGCCTCCCAAAGTGCTAGGATTATAGATGTGAGCCACTGTGCCCAGCCTCACAAGTGTTTTCTTTTAGGTCCTTATTTCAGAAATGAATCTAGGTTTACTACAAAGTGCTTGGCTATATTTACTTAGATATAGATTTCTAAGCAATGCATTTGGTTATTGGAATCGTAGTTATAAATTAGCAGGTCTAATAGAACAGTACAGTTTATTTCAGCTTTACACAAAATCAGGTAAAGAGAGGTGCTTACATCGTGACGCCAGGGTAACTAGGATATCATTTTCTTTTTTTTAGAAGTAATAGGAAAGATGATTATCCTGGACCAAAGGAGTGGGAGTAGCCTTAGGAATTGCTATGCTTTTCTGCTCCTAGTCCCCTGCTATTGACTGTGGAGGAAAATTTAACTGAAATGTTTAGGAAGTGAGGAGGCTTCAAGGCTTAGGGAATAGGTACTCTAATGATTGTTACATTTAGACTCAAAGCAGATAATTGGTGGAGGACTTTTTTTTTTTTTGAAACAGGGTCTTGCTGTGTTGCCCCTGCTAGAGTACAGTAGCATCATCATAGCTCATAGCAACCTTAAACTCCTGGGCTCAAGGGATCTTCCTGCCTCAGCCACCCGAGTAGCTGGGACTACAGATTCGTGCCACCATGTCCAACTAATTTTTCTATTTTTTGTAGAGACAGGGTCTTGCTCTTGCTCAGGCTGGTCTCAAACTTCTGGTCTCAAGCATTCCTCCTGCCTCTGCCTCCCAGGGTGCTAGGATTATAGGCATGAGCCACCGGGCCTGGCCTGGTAGAGGATGTGGTATATAACCTTTATTTTGTTGTTACTTTTCACCTCTTACCAATGTGGAGACTGTGCTGCCATATGTAATAGACCAAGTGTGCAAAGGGACTTAGTAACTTTTAGTGAGTTAGATATCTAAGTGTTGATGATATTCTTCCCAGACATGATAAATGGGTCTATTTCTTGAGCTGGCCGCATGATTAGTCCCCATGATTAGTTGTCTGTAGCCTGACATGCCAATTTTTAAAACCAAAGTCTGTGCAGTAATTTTTTGTTTTCTAAAGAAAAATTGGGAATCTTGGCCAGGTGGGTGGCTCATGCCTTTGATCCCAGCACTTTGGGAAGCTGAGGCAGGAGTATCACTTGAGGCCAGGAGTTTGAGGCCAGCCTGGGCAACATGGCAAGACCCCACCACTCCACAAAAATTAAAAAATAGTGGGATGTTGTGAGGATCACTTGAGCCCAAGAGTTTGAGACTACAGTGAGCTATGATCACACCACTCTACTCCAGCCTAAGTGACAGAGTGAGAGACCGTGTATCTAAAAAATAAAAAAGAAGAAAAGAAAGAAAAATTAGGAACCTATGTAGACCCGATGTCCTGCAAAGTATTTTTCCTTTTAGGAAAAGAGCCCCATATATTGCTTACCTCACTCGCTGTCGACAAGGACTGCAGACCACACAGGCTCACCTGGAAAGGCTGTTACAAAGGGTTTTGCGGGACAAAGAGGTGGCCAATCGATACTTTACCACTGTCTGTGTGAGGTTACTGCTTGAGAGCAAAGAAAAGAAGATCAGGGAATTCATTCAAGGTAACTCCATACCTTTAGATTAAGCATCTCTTCAGCCGTATGCTCTTGGGAAGATTTGGAAATTTTATTTTGTTTGCTAGTTTGTTCAAGTACCTGCATGCCTCAAATACTTATTTTATGGATTCCTAATAATTAAACTTTGATGTTGAACCAATAAATTACATTTTTCTCCTGGATTGAATATCTATAGTTTATTTTAAAAATTGGGGAAATTGGTAAATTTTTGGATCCACATGAGTTTTCTCTTTTTTTAAAACCAAACATGTCATTTTTATAACAAACGCCCTTGTACTTAAACTTTCACATATTTCTTCCTTTTTCCTAATTTTAATGATTTGGCTACATATTTTCCTAGAATAAACCACACTCAAACACTTTTGGCTTTAAGATTATAATGTCTGCATAACTAGTGATTAAAATTATTTCTATAATTTCCTTTTAAAAATTATTTACGTAGTTTTTATTAAACCATTTAAAAAGTTATTATTTTGCATTGGAGACTTTCAGAAGCTCACAGCCGCTGATGATAAAACTGCTCAGGTAGAAGATTTTCTACAGTTTCTTTATGGTGCGATGGCCCAGGATGTCATATGGCAAAACGCAAGTGAAGAGCAGCTTCAGGATGCGCAGCTGGCCATTGAGCGAAGCGTGATGAACCGGATTTTCAAGCTCGCTTTCTACCCTAATCAGGATGGCGACATACTTCGTGACCAGTGAGTGCTTCTGTGCTGAGTGCCTGTGTTGGACTGTGTAGGGATCTATCAGGTGGTTTCATATTTTAGGCAGGCTGTGCATGTGACTTAGTATCTGGTAGTAAACAGAAACATATCAGTTACTATTTTTCACCTGTCAGTTACATGATCAAAAAGAATGATAATACCCAGTTTCAGGGATGTGGGCAATCAGGCTGGAAGGAGTATAAATTGGTATGGCCTTTTTGGAAAGCACTTGCTGTTTACTCTGCCTCAGATATTCTTCCTTTCCTTCATGTGATCAATTAACTCTTACTTACCTTAGATCTTGACTGAAGTATCACTTCCCTGGGGTGACCTCTCCTGAGGAGGTTACCTTTCCTGTTAGGGCTCTCTCAGGTCCATGTGCCTTCCATTTGTCATGGTTGCCATTTGACATTCGTTTGAGTCATGGTTTCTCAACCAGCACACTGAGATTTGGGGCCAGATTGTTCTTTGATGTGGGAGGCTGTTTATCAGCATCCCTGGCCTCTCCACACTAGATGCCAGCAGTATCCCACCAGGTGTGATAACCAGAGTGTCTCCATATGCTGCCAGATGTCCCTTGGGGGGTAAATTCCCTGTTCGTTCCTTCCTTCCTTCCCTCCTTTCTTCCTTTCCTTCCTTCCTTTTTTGAGACAGAGTCTCACTCTGTTGCCTGGGCTAGAGTGCCATGGCGTCAGCCTAGCTCACGGGAACCTCAAACTCCTGGGCTTAAGTAATTCTCCTGCCTCAGCCTCCTAAGTAGCTGGGATTACAGGCACCTGCCACCACGCCCAGCTAATTTTTTCTGTTTTGAGTAGAAATGGGGTCTCACTCTTGCTCAGGCTTTTGTACTTCATATGCCAAGTGGGGCCTGTGTTCTCTCCAGAGCACCAATTTTTGGCTTCAGGCATAGGATGAGGAGTAGGGACATTCAAACTCTACTACAGAGAGCAGCTTTGAAGCAGATTTTTTCTATTCCCTCCTCCATGGCACTTCTGCAGGTTTTGTACAGTGTGGAGAGCTACCTCAGTGCTTGGAAAGAACGCTACCCGCAGGAAGCTGGGTGTAGCCCTTGACACTGACCCCTGTGTGGCCTTAGGCAAATCCTTCACCTTTTCCAGCCTAATTATCTCCCTTCTCCATGTAAGATCTGTGATCTTTGATTTCTGGCTTTTGATCCCTCTACCTCCTCTCACTTTTCTTTTTCTTACTCCCTTTTCCTCTACTTTACTAAATAATGTGTCCCAGCAGCTCTTGGGTTAGGGGCTTTCTCCACTGGAATGCTGTCCTAGTCCAGGAAAGAAGGATTTCCCTACTATCCCTGCATGCCCTCAGCTGCCTCAGCATGTCTAAACAGATCCTAAATATGTGCCTTTTTTGACAAAGAATACTTACAGCTAAGAGATAGTCTCAACTATAATTGTAATCTATATCTAGAAATAAGTTAAAAATGTTTTAAAAGTTTTGAAAAAAATCAGTGTAACTATGTATTACCTTGTTTTATGCATGATATTTACATGTGTATTTGGGGGGGCGTTTTCAGGGTTCTTCATGAGCACATCCAGAGATTGTCTAAAGTAGTGACTGCAAATCACAGAGCTCTTCAGATACCAGAGGTAATAATGTTTATGTGGCATGGGTGAGATGTACTAAATGCTGCGTGGTGTACCATGTAATGTAACCACTTTTTCAAGGCTAGATATAATTTAGTCTAACTATAAAGTTCCCTGGTACAGAAAAGAACCTCAGCAGTGGGGAGGAAGGAGTGAGGCAGCAGGGAAAATCCCCTCCCTGAAGCCCCTGGGTGCACAGGCAGGGCTTCTCCACCCAGCCCTTCCGAGCAGCACTTTCCATCCTTGCTTTATAGTCAGCTTTCTGCAGAGACGACCCATTTGACTAGGGGGCTGGGAGCACTCCAGAGAGTGTGGTACCTGCTGTTCCAGTAGAGATAATTGAATTTGAATGTGACCTCATAGTACCTTCTAGTTATTGATACCAGCATTTTTGCCTGTCTGACACATCTCTTACAAAATAAGAAAACAGGACAATTTCAGGGTTTTTGAGCTTTCTGGTTGTTTTTGTTGAAACCTCAACAATGGAACCCTAATTAGTATTAATATAAAATTTTAAATTGTCTTTGATTTTTTTGAATCTGTTATTTCTAGAACTTAGAACTACTGCAATGAGGGTACATATTAACTTTTAAATTACCTTCTGTTAGTAACTCGTTTACATTTTGGGGGGCAGCTACTAAATGTAGGGAAGTTCCATCCTAGCTATTTAAGAAAATAATTGTTTGAAATTTTATGAGTTCTAGGTTCTGTGTTAATTGTATGCCCCTTTTGTATTAATGGATGTCTAGGTTGCTCTATTTTAAAATGCAAAACAAATTATTATTTAAAGTTAAATTTAAGTTAAGCTTTGGCCAGGCACAATGGCTCACATCTATAATCCTAGCACTCTGAGAAGCTGAAGAGAGTGGATTGCCTGTGCTCAGGAGTTTAAGACCAGCTGAGCGCGTGGTGGCTCACGCCTGTAATCCTAGCTCTCTGGGAGGCCGAGGCGGGCGGATTGCTCAAGGTCAGGAGTTCGAAACCAGCCTGAGCAAGAGCGAGACCCCATCTCTACTGTAAATAGAAAGAAATTAATTGGCCAACTGATATGTGTATATAAAAAATTAGCCGGGCATGGTGGCGCATGCCTGTAGTCCCAGCTACTCAGGAGGCTGAGGCAGAAGGATCGCTCGAGCCCAGGAGTTTGAGGTTGCTGTGAGCTAGCCTGACGCCACGGCACTCACTCTAGCCTAGACAACAAAGCGAGACTCTGTCTCAAAAAAAAAGACCAGCTGAGCAAGAGCAAGACTCTGTCTCTATTTCAAATAGAAAAATTAGCCAGGGGCCGAGTGTAGTGGCTTACACCTGTAATCCTAACACTTTGGGAGGCCAAGGCAGGAGGATTGCTTGAGCTAAGGAGTTCAAGACCAGCGTGGGCAAGAGTGAGAGACCCCATCTCTTTAAAAAGAAAAGAAAAAGTAAACAATAATAAAAATAAGTGAAAAAAGTAAAAATTAGCTAGGATGTCATGGTGCATGCCTATAGTGCCAGCTACTTGGAAGGCTGAGGCAGGAGAATCGCTTCAGTGCAGAAGTTTGAGGTAGCAGTGAGCTGTGATGATGCCGTGACATTCTAGCCAGGGTGACAGAGTGAAACTCTGTCTCAAAAAAAAAAAAAAAAGTTAAACTTCAATCTTGGGTAGAGAGGGAAGGAACCTCAATTTGGTTTTACTGGAGAGAGGAAAAAAGCAACCACCTATGCCTCTGGACATGGTGGTTGGGATGGTCATTGCTGGGGTTGCCGTTGGATTTAGAACTGTACATTGTCTGTGGTCTCACTTAGGTTTATCTTCGAGAAGCACCGTGGCCATCAGCACAATCAGAAATCAGGACAATAAGTGCTTACAAAACCCCCCGGGACAAAGTGCAGTGCATCCTGAGAATGTGCTCTACGATTATGAACCTCCTGAGCCTGGCCAACGAGGACTCAGTCCCCGGAGCAGATGACTTTGTCCCTGTGTTGGTGTTTGTGTTGATAAAGGTAGGCCCCTTACTGCTCTCAGTTAAGGAGTTGTGTCATTCTGAGCCGGGTGGCACGGGGCTTCACTTGATGTTTCAAGGTCTTGGCTCTTTTCCAAGTCTCAAGCTTTGTGTCACCCAGAAAGAAAGTGTCTAATGTCAAGATTTGTTCTTTCCAGAAGTTAGGGATTTCAAAAGAAAGGATGAGGGGGACTAGATTCCTAGATGAATGTTTTCAGCTTTCAAAGCAGTGCCAGAAACTCTTGGTTGGGGCTGAGTATGTAATTACTGAGTGAATAGATGAGGGCAGGTTCTCTCTATTGTGCTTTTACCACCCCCTTTCACACTGAACTCTTTGCAGTATCTGTCACATAGACCACCAAATTTACTAGTCATCTCTCCCCTCTTTTAGCCTCTTGTCTTATAGTATAAAAGTACCGCCATCTCTTGCCCTTCTTTGACTTTTAAAATTAAAATTTCATCACTTAAATGGTTTAATTTGAACATTTTTGGGGCAACCATGCAGTTTGGGTGTACACAGCCACTATGTGACTGCATCACTTGTGTGTTCCAGTCAGCCCAGCCCAGCTATTGCCATCTAAAGTGTGTTTGACACATTTCTCATTAATTCTTAGTGTTTGCAACATTTTTGCAGCCTGGACTCTCAACTCTGAGTCAGAAACCCATAGGATCGGCCACCACAGCTCCTCCTTTTGTTCACTGCTCTTCTCTCTTCTACACGTGATCTGTCTAGTCCTTATGCAGAGCCGGTTTAAGCTAGTTTTAAGGAAAAGGCCTTAGCTTGTCCTCCTAGCTGTTGCACAACCTGTGTCTTTTCTTTCCATGTGAAGAAGGTAAAAAAAACCAGATGTCTTGTGTTACCTTTTGCAGCAGAGGGCATATTATCTTTTTAGTTTGTTCTAAATTGATCCGCCAGACTTACCAGATGTAGCTCTATTTGTCTACAGCATTTATTTCCTTATTAACATTCTGGAATCCTGGGATATTAAGACCACTGGGATTAGTTCAGCCTCCACAGGGACTAATGAGGTTAAGTAACTTGCAAGGATAGAAAGTTCTAGATAGTTCAGTTAGGACTAGAACCTGGGCTGCCTTTCCAGTATACTGTTGCTACTCATAGTAGCTAAAGTTTACAGATTACTTCCAAAAAATGTAATTTGGGAATTATTTTCAAAAGGACTGATATTTCTTTCACAGAAAAACATTTGAAGAACTCTTAAATGATTGGCAAAGCTGTACATCTGAGTAATTGACTCTTTTTTATTTTTTACCTTTCTAGGCAAATCCACCCTGCTTGCTGTCCACTGTTCAGTATATCAGTAGCTTTTATGCCAGCTGTCTGTCTGGAGAGGAGTCCTATTGGTGGATGCAGTTCACAGCAGCAGTGGAATTCATTAAAACCATTGATGACCGAAAGTGACCAAGACCAAGGCCACCAAGGCAGCAGACTGTTAGTTGGGCATAGAGATCTCTAAAAAAATGTACCAGCTGCTTTGAAGGCTGAAGAAGATTGTTTTTGTATAATATTGTACAGCATTCAGACATTTTAAAACAGATCTTTACTAAACAGATTAATGAGCTAACAAGCAGGTTCTCTTTTCTTTGGGCTCTTTCCTTTCTGAGTTGCATATTTTATTTTCTTGTCCCCAAGTAGAGAATAGTACTGCAAAAAGGGACCACATTTTTCAGGTATTTTTAAATATTAAAAGAAAACAGAACAGAATCTCTTAGAAAATTCCTAGGCCTCCATTCATAGATACCCATTCTTTCTTTTTATTTTAAAAAAGAACAGTACCCGTCTTTTAAGATGCTGTCTTGTCTTATATGCATCTAATGGAAGGAAAATATCAGTTGCACTGAGGATTATAATAGTGGTGTATTAGAGGCATTATCTATAAATACACTCAACCAAAATTGAAAAGCTAAGAAGGAAATGTAAATATAATATATATTTATATTTGATGTAATATGGACATCTTCAGATTCTAATAAACAAGGACTATTGCTGATAATAGGTTGTCACATACCCTCTTGTGAAATGGTTTCCTTGACAAAATTTAAGCTGAGCTTAAAGGCAAAACACAAAAAATACACAAATATTTATTAAAGTGTAATACAGTTTATCGAACTGTCTAGGTGTGGAGTTTGATGCGCAGGGCTGCCTTTGATGAGGAGTATAAAAATCACTTATGAGGCTGCATAAAGGAGATAACTCTTTAATTATCATATATTACATAAAATGAACAGTAGATACCTAATACTTTATTGTGGTACTTCTTATCTGACATAGTAAATATACTGTAGAAACCCCAGACAAAGCTCCTTACAAACCTTTAATTGTAATATATTTTTGATGATTATTCACATTGAATGCACAGACCAGGAATTCAGTGAATGTCATTTTTTTTAAAAACTAATTTGTATTGTCTGCTCTAGTGATACAAGTTTTACTAGTGATAAACTATTTTAATCAACCATACTATTCTTACGGAAAAAAAATCTATTTTGGCAGGTTTCTGTGCCTTTATTTCCCTCTTCTGAAAAAAAATTTGTGTTTTAGTAGTTTTGTTTGCATTGTATATTGATGATTAATCAGGAATGGGTTTTGGTGCCTGAGAAACTGGCCAGGGAGGCACACCAAAGCATCAAGCACAAGTCTCATACATAGGCCATCACTGACTGATTTCACTTTGTATGTTTCCTAAACTTGCTGAGCTGCTTTTATAACAAACTCAGTCCCACACTTTGAGTTCCTCGTTGCAGGAACATTTCCTGGTGTTTGTTAAGGAAACCATGGCAAACAACCTTGAGCAGATGAATACAGAGGCTATCTGCTCCCTGTCTCCAAGATCTGTCTCAGAATGCCTAAAGAAACTGGATTTTCTTTATGTCTCCAACTCTTCTCATTGACTTATTTTAAAATAAAACAACAGGTTGTGTAGGAGTGTGGGATGTGGTTTCTGCCCTCAAGGGAGAGATCAAAATTAAACTAGTTCTATGAAATGTCCTTTCAAATGTTAGGTCAAGAAATCTGTGTACAGAGTCATGTGCTTCATGGGCTGTAACTGTCAAACTTGCCTAGAATTAGAAGTCAAATCCCATCGTAAATGCATTATAGGACAAGCTGTGTGACGTGATTTCTGAGACCTATGTAGGAGTCCATTTACTTCAGCGTTTGACTCAATAAACATTAAGTCAACAGAAGACTCCGAATAGTTGGAATTCATTGTTATGGGATTTAACCCATAAATCAATGAGAGTTTTTTTTTTTTTCTTCACAATATTTGCTAAATCTATTCCATGTTATCACTATAGAAATAAATACGAAGATGTGGACATTCACCAGGGCTCTTTTCTGTGGAGGAGAACGTGGTGTTTGGGGAGCACAGGCTACACTGGAGGCAGGAAGTAGGGTTCTATGGTGCTTGAGCCAGCGGTGAGGGTGGAAGCCCTGAAATTTGGTGTCAGTGAAGCCTAGGAGATTTGGGTGCTAACGACTCAGGTGCTGTAGAAAAGCACAGCCCAGCTGTTGTAGGGGCAGCTAAGTTTCCCTCGTAATCCTATCAGGAGCAAGTCCACTTCAGCATTAACCATCACTAGCTTTATTTCATGACATGATTTCTTACAGTATTGACTTCTGCATTTAGGAATTTATTCACTATCTGTATGGCAGTAGTAGTATGAGAAATAGGGAATGATTCTCTTGATTTTTCAGGAAAAAGTTCTTCATGTTTCTTTTCCTTTCTTTTTTTGAGACAGGGTCTCTGTTTGCCAGGCTGAAGTGCAGTGGCATCATCATAGCTCACTGGAGCCTTGAACTCCTGGGCTCAAGTGATCCTCCCATCTCAGCCTCCTCAGTAGCTAGGATGACAAATGTGTGTCATGCCTGGCTAATTTTTGTATTTTTTGTAGAGGATCTCTCTGTATTGCTCAGGCTGGTCTTGAACTCCTGGCCTCTAGCGCTCCTTCTGCCTTGGCCTCTAAGGTGCTATGTGTGAACCACCGTTCCCAACCTTCAAATGCTTCTTACTACACTGCCTTCCGGTACTTGTTTTGCATGAAGGATTAGTGCAAAAGTACAAAACTTCCCCTGGGAAACATTTGGTAGCCACAAATTATTGCCTGAAATTTACAAAGTTAATGGATGTTAAATGAGGATATAGTGACTCAGCTCACTGAAATCTTATAGAATTAACTTCTCTGAGGAAATGAAAAGTCAGTTTGTGTTTTACATTATTATTCTGCGTCTGGAAGTAATAGAAATAACCGATTGAAGATTGTCTTTCCTCATAAAAGTATTTTTTTTAAACCTGGTAAATATTTCATTTTCTTTCTCCACTTTAGGTAAAATCTCAGCCACCCTAATTGCTTCTTTCTGCTTTTTCTTCATAAAAACCTGCTTATAAAGCTTTTTCATACAGATAGTTAAATTGCTGTAGTAAGAGAATTTAGGCTTTCTGAGGGATTGAAAACAGATGTAATACAGGGTTTTTCTTTTTCTGTTGTGTCCTGGAAGCCTTTGTTTAAAGTGGACTTTACAGATTCATGTTCCTGAGGTGTATAAGCAAGAGAACAAAACCCCAACCCAGGCCGGGCGCAGTGGCTCACGCCTGTAATCCTAGCACTCTGGGAGGCCGAGGCGGGCGGATGCTCAAGGTCAGGAGTTCAAACCAGCCTAGCAAGAGCGAGACCCATCTCTGCTATAAATAGAAAGAATTAATGGCCAACTAATAATAATAGAAAAAATTAGCTGGGCATGGGACATGCCTGTAGTCCCAGCTACTCGGGGGCTGAGGCAGTAGGATCGCTTGAGCCCAGGAATGTGATGTTACTGTGAGCTAGGCTGATGCCATAGCACTCACTCTAGCCTGGGCAACAAAGCGAGACTCTGTCTCAAAAGAAAAAAAAAAAAAAAACCCAACCCAGCCAGTAAGGAGGCTGTGTTCTTACCGCAAGAATCTGTAGCTGACTGTGTGTGTGAGCCAGGCACCATTTTCCTCTTCCTTGCTATGAAAAATTCCAATGAGGTGTTTTAAATGTGTGCGGTTTAAACATTTCTTTCTCTGATGTGATTGGGTGTAAGGAGGGAAAGTAGGAAGACACTTGCTCAAAATTATTGGTGGGTTGCATAGAAGTACAGAGATGTAGTGGAGTTGGCCTCACTGGATGCGTCCCAGGCTTTCTCTTCTTGTCTCTTTATGCTTGCCTTGTTTCTTTAAAGAAATGTCTGTTTTCTCTCTTTCTTGTTCTTTTAAGTCTAGTGGGTTTATTCTGCATGTAATTGGTATAATTTGGGAGGAGAATCCAGACAGTCTTCTTGAAGCTCAAAGAATTTTAAGTAAGTGGATGAACAGCGATGAGATCTTTGAGAGATTTTGAATGCCAAAATGCTTGAGAACTTTGCCAGATTAATAATTACTTAATAGATTTTAGAATGTAGGTTACCTAGGAAGTAATAGCTTTCTTACTCTTGAGTACACTTGAAGAAATGAAGATACAGTTTGCTCCAGAGTTAAAGGTTGTGGTTGAACTGTGGAGTCACTGTGGAGCTGCCACGTCCCGCAGGCCTGAGCTCAGCGAAGGTAAGTTCAAGAGAGGAAGTCTTCGCTTGGGTAACGGCAGGCTGTGGGCAGGGGCCACGCCCTGTCAGAACTCATCTCTGCTGCGTTACTGTTCTGTCCTATCCACCGTGTTCTTCTTGTGCTTCCCCATGTTAAAAAGCTTTGTACTGCCTCTTCTCTTGAAACTGATACAACCTTTATTAAGTCTCAGTAATGAGCTTGCACAATCTTGTATATGTACAGGAAATTCGTCCTGTCTCCTAATGTGATTAGAAATGTAAAATACCATTCTGTAAAGCTGATTAAAAAGGGAGAGCAGTTTGATTCACTGGGTTTTATGTTTCCACCACCTATTTTATATTCAGAAGCATTTCTGAAAATTTATTTGACTTCCAAATGTTACTGATGCTCTCTATGAATTCACACTTGTCTCTTTCATCTGAACATGTAAGGTATTTGCTAAGTGTGGTGCAGGAGGGAACTAGAATGACCCAGAAGTAACTGACAAGTTGGAGAATGTCAGTTTTAACAAGTTTCTATCTGACCCCTGTATTTGGAAGCTATTTATCAGCCTTAGTTCTGAAAACAAAAGCGTTACCATCTAATCACGATATTCACCAAAGCCTTTATTAAATCTCTTCAGCAGAGAGAAGGAGCCCTAGCTCCTTTAGGCTTCCCTTGCTGGTGGAAAGGTGCTTTTCCTATATTGATCACACTTCATTTAGCAGGAGGCAGTTAGAAACTTGCTTAGGCCTCAGTTTTCATTCACTCTGTTCAGTATTAAAACGAGTGCTGTGACTTGCCTAGGAACTGAAAATAGCATTCAACTTTTCTTGCCAACTTGGAATTACCTATGTCACTTGGACTCCTGTTATGTTTGTTCCCACTCAGCCCTTCCTCCAAGCACATGGCTCTGTAGCTTCTCCCCAAAGGACGCTGAGCTGATGGCAGTGTTTCGCTGGCTGGCTGCAGTGCCGCTGCAAAACCGTCATGATCCTGGACAGTGAAGACAGGTGCTAAGCTCTGCTTAGCTGTAAATGTGTCAGAGTTGAAGTATTCAGTGAAGAGCTTTTGCTTCAGTCACTTCATTCCATGAGAATCCTTTCCATCTGCTTCAAGTAGCAAACTGTAGCCCATAACGTTTTTAAAAAATTGACCAAAGAGCCACAGTGGCTGGAAAATCTCTGGTTGTGGGGATCCAGAAAACATCTTCTGAGTCTTGTGCTAAAATGGAAATAGCGCTCAGTTCCAGGTCATTGGGCCTGTTGCAGACAATGTGAAAACCATGGATGGCTGGGCGATGGCTCACGCCTGTAATCCTAGCTCTCTGGGAGGCCAAGGTGGGAGGATCGCTCGAGGTCAGGAGTTCAAAACCAGCCTGAGCAAGTGTGAGACCCCGTCTACTAAAAATAGAAATTAATTGGCCAACTAAAAATATATAGAAAAAATTAGCCAGGCGTGGTGGCGCATGCCTGTAGTCCCAGCTACTCAGGAGGCTGAGGCAGAAGAATTGCTTGAGGCTAAGAGTTTGAGGTTGCTGTGAGCTAGGCTGACACCACGGCACTCACTCTAGCCCAGGCAACACAGTGAGACTCTGTTTCAAAAAAAACCATGGTGATCTTATTTCTGTTAACTATCTAGAAATTCAGCATATTGCTGGCCAAAAGCATGAAATTTTATGCTCTTGTGTAAAGAGTATCCAATGTGGTTTTAAAAACAGGGCATTTCACTTCAGCTTTCTTTAGCCCTCTTCATTCGCAGTTCTGACAAACCTGTAACCAGGGCTTGGAGAGACGTAGGTGGTGCTGATGGTTCTTACCGCTGATTCGTGGTTAATTCAGTCAAGGGATCGATCTAATCTGTCCCACCTTGACCAAATGGATTATAATATTTGGGGATAGGGCCCAGAAATTGGTCCATTTTTAAGTGTCCTAGGGAGTACTAGAAACTATCGTCTCCCGAACTTCGCTGTTGAGAATCCGTTTGCTCCCCACGTGCGGCCTCGCCTGCCCCTGCCCCTGCCCCAAGGGGGAGCGTCTGGGTGCACTCTGCTCCCCACAGCCCTGTGTGGACCCGCTTGGTTTCCTCACCGCCCGCCGCCTTACACCTTGACCACTGACAGCCCTGTTTTCCTCCCCTGGTGGCTGTGACGGGGCAGTGAGGCTGCGCCTGCCGCTCACTGAGGGCAGCCTGCTGTGGGAGAGGGCCAGGGGAGGCCGAGGGGCAGATGATGGGAAGGCGCTAAGGGCCATCCCGCCAGCGCGGCGTCCTCAGTGGTGCCGCCCAGCCAGCCCTCCTCCTGCGTCACTCCTGCCACTTACTGCAGAGCCGCAGGTTTTGAGTGGTGTGTGGTCGGAGTGCCAGTTTCAGGAACCTTAGGAAGGTTCCCATCTGAGCCCTGACACTAGCCAGACAACTCCGAAGGGCGTTTCCTGATTTGGGCTACGTCACCTCATCCCTCTCTCACAGTCTCTAGTTTTGCCGTCTGTGTGAAATCTGGGACTGTTCTGTGCGGGCATTTAGCCGGGGCTGTGGGCGCCGGCGCTAGGCGGGGCGCTGTGAAGGCTGCCAGCCGCGTGGCGCGGGGCTCTGGAGCCCTGAAGGAGAGAGAGGCTGCCCGCCGTGCTGCTCAAGGGGGGACGTGAGCCTCTCTGTGAACACAAGCTTATGCCACAGCCTCCTTCCAACCGCTATTCCCTGGGCGAGGAGATGGCCAGCGCCTCCCTGAGGGGCGCTGCTGTGTGTTCACCCCGGGGAGCAAGAGAATCATCCACCGTGT